CCCTCCCCCTGCATCAAGGCTGTGCAAGGTGTCCCACCATAGGTAGTAGGCTCCAAAAAGCCAGCTCATGCACCAGGGATGGATCCTGATCCTGCCAGGGGCCCCCTTATGCAGAAGACCTAGTCCAGTCCCAAGGTAACTATATAGCTATTGGTCTAAAGTTTATGAGTTCCCACTAGCTTGGTTTGGTTGTCTCTGTAGGTTTCCCCATCATGATCTTGTTGCCCACTTGCTCATAGAATGCCTCTTCTCTCTCTTTGACCCGACTCCTGGAGCTCTGCCTGGTGTTTGGCAGTGAATCTCTGCATCTGCTTCCATCAGTTACTGGATGAAGGGTCTATGATGACAGTTAGGGTATTTCTTCAATCTGATTATTGGAGTAGGCCAGTTCAGAGACCCTCTCCACTATTGCTAGTAGTCTAAGCTGGGGTCATCCTTGTGGATTTCTAGGAACTTTCCTAGCACCTAGTTTCTCCCTATCCCCACGATGTCTCCCTCTATCATGGTATCTCTTTCATTGGCATGAGCAAAATCTTATGATAGCTTTCTATAAAGAGAAATTATTTGCTAATAATTACCCTTTACATATTGAGGAGCATTAATGAGGTACTTTTATTTATTTGAATTTTTAAAATTTTTGGTAGCGCATCTCACCCTATGTGCAGTCCAGGCTGGCTTGGAACTCACCTTGTACCCCAGGCTGCCCTCAAATTTGTGACAGCCTTTCTGCTCAGCCTCCCATGGCGACCTTCTTTAGGGAAGGATTAAGAAGACTAGCTGACTTTGGATCTCTCAATTATATTTTAGCATAAACATCAACTTTTAAATGGTGTCCAATATGTCACGTAGGTAAATTTTAACAATGTCTAGTTATTGTGTTTGAAAGTGAAAAGAAATAGGTGTTATAATTTTAATAATATATTCTATTTAATCCAGTATATCTAAAGTATTATTTCAATATGTAGCCCACATCAACATTATTAATGACGTAGTACTTGAAAATCTTACTGCTCTAAGTCTCGAAGACTTGGCCCTTTTCACTTTGTTTGCATGTCACCTTGGGTTAGCCAGGGGCTACCTCACATGCAGCTAGTGGCTGCTGTATTGTTGGACTGTTTCACTTCAGAGAATCACTTTAGGAAAGCGAATTTCTTAATTAATCTCATTTAAAAAAATCATGAGAATATGAAAGACCAGTTGTAATGGTTGTATTAGTCTAAAGGAACAGAACTGATAGATTGAATATGCACATATTAAACTATAATATGTATATTAAAAGGAGATTTATTAGAGTGGCTTACAGGATGTGGTCTTCGCAGTCCAATGATGGCCGGCTCACACTGGAGAGGATGAGGCTCCTGTAGCTGCCCAGCCCACGAGGCTGGATGTCTCAGCAGTTCCAACTGGTGCTGAAGGCCTGGAGAATTCCTGGAGAGCTGCTGCTTTAGTCTGTATTGGAAGTCGGTTCTGATACCAGCCAAGGGGACAGAGGAACTTGACAGTGAGAACGAGGGCAAGCAGGCAGAAGGCAACGCTCCCTTCTTCCTTTTGTCTCAGCTGTCACCAGAAGGCATGGCCACATTTAGGGTGGGTCTTTCTGCTTCTGACAATCAGATCAAGAGACTCCCTCACAGGAGTCACAGCTGCTTGGGTTTCAGTTGCTCCAGATGCAGTCAAGTTGACAACCAGCATTAGCCATCGCAATGGTCACAGAGACATATCATGAAATTTTAATGACTTACTTTTATGTGTGTATATGCATATGTGTTAGGAATGCTGTGTGCGCATGCCCATGGAGGTCAGAGGAGTGTCAGATCTCCTGGAGCTGCAAGCGGTTGTGAGCCAACAGATGTGGGAGGTGGGAACTGAACTCAGGTCCTCTGGAAGAGCAGCAAGTGCTCTCAGCTGCTTTGTGGCATCTCCAATCCCACACAATGATTTTAATATCCTATTACAGTCCCTCCGTTTTTAGGTTAGATAGCTGGCTTAAAGCTACTCCTTTAATCTGTTCCCGTGATCCACCCGGCAGGAAAGAGGGCACAGTAGGAATGATAATTTGCTCGCAACTTTTTAATTCTGCCCAAGAGGTGGCATGGAAGCAGAGCTTAGGATAAAGCTAAGCCTCCCAGATAAATGTGAATGTCTAGACCAAAGGTCCTTAAACTGTGTGATGTGATGCTGTAACTGAAGGTGAGGGTCACAGTTAGAGGGTTTGGAATGCTAATGACCAAAAATTAATTCAAAATGTAGTGAAAAATGAGTGCAAGGTGCTGCTGGCTGCACGGGCCCAGGCTGCATCCCAAGGAGTCACTGCAGCCTTGGTTCTGAACACACAGCACATGCACTTTGTACTGTACATGTCGCCGTGCACACACCACCAACGAACACTACCCGGCTTCAAAAACCATCGCATGCTGTGAACAATATTCTCTGTTCGACTAGAAATACAATGACTTCATTACCGAAGACATAGACTTCAGATATTTTTCTGATGCCATTTCTCAGTAATGTAAATATATTATTAACTTATCTTTAGGTTATATACTGTTAGAATGTTTGATTTTTAAAATTGGTCTTTGAGATTTGAATTGATTAAAAAAAATCATCCAGTAATTCTGGCTTGGGAGTAGGACAGAATGAATTTCCAACAATTTCTGAAATGGCTTTAAACATACTTCTGCCATTTAGTATTAATGCGTTTATGTGAAGTGGCGTTCTGAGTACTGATGACTATAAAAACAAATTATCAACCAACTCTCAACACCATTAGAGATGTTCCATGTCCTGCAGTATTCAGCCAAGATTTAATTCTTTATGAAAAAATAAATAAGCACACCCATCTCATTAGAATACAAATTCACTTCCATCTCCAATAAAAAGTAAAATTACATATATTAAAGAACTATTTTTGAAAATTAGTTGCCATTTATAATTAGTAAACGTTTGATTGATTTGTATACTTATCTTCTATGGCTCATGTTGAGATATAAGAGGTCACCAGGGGAAAAGGAGGCCCAGGTAAGAAGACTGTCTCATATATTAACGCAAAACCAGGTTCTTCAGGAATTCTCTAAGTAGGGACCCCATGCAGATTTTTCTAGATGCTTGATGTTTGAAGATGGGATTGGCCACTTAATGACCCTTCTTTCCTCTGTATTTAGTCTCCAATCGATACAATAATATATAGGTCCATGAATATTCAGTTTCCACTCAAGGCAATATTATATTGGTCCATGAATATTTTTGATATTTATAAATCGATAAAGAATCCCTGGTTTAATCTTTGCCAGACTAATAGATGCTCATTTAGGAGAACAATTGCCAAGAGTCTAAACAGTGCTGAATTGTCTAGGGTAGCAACAGTCCGTTCCATTCTTACTCTGGTTGTGGGGTACCAATCCTGCCCTCTTCCCTTTCTCTTGTGCCCTCCATCCCTCCCCCTTTCTTTTTCATCTCTTTCTTGTTTGTTTGTCTTTCTTAGCTCGTTTTGTGTCACCATAACAAAATATCCAAGGCTGGGTACTTTATAAAGGAAAGAGGTTTATTTGGGCCCAGAGTTTTGTTGTTGTTGTTTTTGTTTTTTGTTTTTTTTTTTGTTTTTATTTTTGTTTTTTTGAGACAGGGTTTCTCTGTGTAGCTTTGGAGTCTGTCCTGAAACTCACTCTGTAGACCTGGCTGGTCTCCAACTCACGGAGATCCGCCTGTCTCTGCCTCCCGAGTGCTGGGATTAGAGGTGTGCACCACCACTGCCCGGTTGGGTGCAAAGTTTTGCCAAGTACAGTGCTAGCACCAGCTTTGGCAACAGCACATGCAAGAGAGATCGCGCACTATGATGAGAGAGGGATCGAGAGAGGGGAGGGGTGAGCCTCATTCTAATCCACTCCTGCAGGGTCTACCTTATTCCAGCACATTAATCCCTCTGTGAAGGACAGTGACGACTCACCCATCTCTCAGTTAGGCCTCACCTCTTAAAGGTCCTGAAATCTCTCAGTGCTATTACTTTGTAGACCAAGCTTCTTCTAAGTGGTCTCTGTGGAGGTGGGGGTGGGGAACCTTAACAAACTATAGCACTGTCTATTCTAGATGGTTATCAAACTTTTGTACAGACTGGGTTTACCCTCTGCAAATATTGTTTTTAAAGATACAAAGAAAACCCAGCAATATAATCTCACATAAACTATGATGCTGGGGTGCAGGTGTCCACAGCATTCTTTCAATAAGAAACTGAGCATGCATTTATTGTGTGTTTTATTATTTTTAATGGATGCATAGTGTTATACAGTGCAACTGTACCAAATATATTTAAGCAGATCACTATTGGTTGGCATACAATTTATTTTAATTTTTTTCTTTTTGGCAGAAAAATGCTGGATGTGCAACCTTGCATAGCTCTTATTACGTATTCATGGGTTTCTGTGTAACATTTTTCAGATTCAGATAGCTGGGAAAAACATACATGCATTTTGAGTTTTGATACATGTCTCCAAATGACTTAATGGCTTGTCAGAAAGATTTCTTTCTCTTGACTTCATCTGGAAGCACCAATCTTCTCATCAAAAAAAGAGTAGGCAAGCTTCCTCAGGAATGAAATGTTTTCATTTTATTACATAAAATGGATCTGCCCTCTTCATCAGTTAATACGTGTGGCCTCGGTTGGAAATACGGTTGTTTAGGTGTATATCCTAGTCAGATCGCTTGCAAGCCCGGAAAACAACAGCTCTCCAGGGGGTTAGCATGTTACTGACACTTCTTTGGCGATTCACAAAATGCCAGGAAGTGAGTGCCCTGCTCGCTGAGGTCCAAAGGAAGGCACTGTAGGATTTGGATTTAATCACTGAACTTTCAAGAAAACATAGGATGGAGGGATGACTCACCCGGGGGAGCTGCCCTCCTGCTCTGCCCTTTAAAGGAAGCATGACCCCAAGGCCTGCTAGTACTTTTCCCTCCTTCTCCAAAAATTTCCTCAGGTGAGGATGCCTAGACTGTGCCAAAGGATCCTAGTTCCTTCCCCAAGTGTCAGTCTGCAGTACACGGCCAGTCTGTGGCACAGTCACTTGGTGTTCGTGGTAGGTGCTCAGCAGTCGGAATCAGTCCCTAAGCAGTGTGGCAGCATCTCGAATCCACAGTGCAGCCTGTGTGTGAAAGTTGTGGTTTAGCATCCTGTGTTTATAACAGAAGTAAAGCCCCCCTTTCCCTTCCTATGAGAGCCCCTGGCAAGGCAGGTGCCTGGCTTGGTTGGCGGGAGACCAGAAGTGCAGCAGAATCAAAGCTTGCTGCTGGAGGTGATGGCAGAGGAGGAGGAGGAGGAGGGGCGTTGTCTACTGTTGGCAGCTTAGTACCTGCTGCAGCAGCCCCAAAGGGAGCACCGAGTACCAGTTGCTCAATAGTTTATCAGTTTGTATCGCCCTTTCTTCTCCCTTAAGTGAATTTCGGTTTCGAGGGCACAGCTTGATAGAAGAAAGATGGGGTGGCGATGGGGACCTTAGGGCTTTGGAATGTCCAGTGTGAGGAAGCAAAGCAGTGCTGGCCGGCCAATAAGATCTGGCTGTGTGCTTAGGGCTCTCTGGATCCTCCCGTCTTTGGCAAGGGACTCTTGAGACTCGGGAGTGTCTACGGTGGCCGTGGCTCGGGGTGGGTGGCTGGGTGGTGGGGTCCTTGTCTCGGCTGCACAGCCCAACTGCTGAGAAGGGCGTGGGCCTCTCGGTCCGGCGGGGTCCTGGACCCTGGTGCCTCGGGGGTTCAGGCTCCGGGCCGGCCCCGGCCCTGGCGGTTGCCATGGTGACGTAGGGTCGGCTGTGCGCCGTGGAGACAAAGCGGCCCGCCCGCCCGCAGCTCCCGGGCTCCTCCTCCGCCGCGCCTCCCTTAATCCCCGGCGCCGCCGCCGGAGCGGCTCACGGTCCTCCCATCGATCCCCCGGTCCGTCCTCCAGCCGCCCCCCACCGCCGCTGGCCAGGTAAGTAAGGCGCGCATCAGTCTGCGGCCCGGGAAGGGTCCCAGAAGCTCCCGAGTGTGGGGTCCACCCGCCCCGGGGATGCACCAGACGCCCTGCCGGGCCACCCTAATGCCACCCACAGCCCCGGCCTCCGGGAACCCCGCGCGCCCAGCACCCGCAGCAAACTTCGGGCCGCGCGCCGGGCCGCGGGACAGAGCCCTCGACACCATCTGATCTGTCCCGACCAAGTTGAGGGGCGGGCCGAGTCATAACCACCTGCCGGGGTATCTTCTCTTTGCTCCCACCTCTCTCCATCGCCTTTGATGATTTTAGAAGGAAACAAAATTGCCCCAGGACTTTCGTGTTTTATGGTTAATTTCTTACAGAATAGGATAGATGTAAGAGGAACACATGAGAGATTTTTTTTTTAATTAATTTAAAACAAATCCCCGAAAAGTCAGCTCATTCTGACGCTTGTGGTTCACGCATTTAGAAGTGGTTTCTAAAGTTCCTTAGGGTTTTGAATCTGAACCTGGAACTGCATGGTAGGAAAGAGTACCCAGGCTCCTCATCTAGCCTTTCCAGGCTCTTAGCTGGACCAATACCTCGTCGAGGAGATACTTGGCACTGACATCGTTGCTATTGTTTTTTGGAAGACATTGTGTTCACGCTTTAGGCAAGTGGAAAATGCCTTGTGTATTTTTGCGAGGGAGCCATCCAAAGCACCCCCGGAGGCAGGTATCCAGGCGGCCTTTGCATCAGTGTTTACCAGTGTGGTGGCGAGGACTGGGGTGCAGTTGCCAAGGGCACTGGGGTACCGGATGGGGAACTGCTTAAGTTGTGGGTACCACTCCTTTTCAATGGCCCCAAGCCAGCAGATTATTTCACGATAGTTTGTTGCAGACACAAAGAAAAGAATTGAAAATGTGATAGTGAAGACTTAGCGAAGCACTAGAAATGATATGTACTACCGTGAGAGAAAGACAACGTCCGTTTTTCAGGATTACAGTTGACCAGTTAGGGAAGTTATACGTGTGCTGATTGTCATTGATATTAACTGGGGACAGATGTTATGTTGATAACTGGAAGCAGCCACCTGATTAAGTTGTATATCCCAACTTAGAAAAATCATGTGTAAGTAGGTTAGAGAACGTTGTATGGAATGAATGATCGGCACTGTATTTTTTTTTTTTAGCTATTATTATAGTTAATGAACCGGTAACATCTATCATTTTGAGTTGTGGTTAAGTTGATTAGAATTCTGGATATTATAGCTACAGGAGGTGTCAGCCTAGAGTGATTATCTAATATTCCTCCTCTTTCTTTGGGATTCCAACACCTGTTAGCTTGTTTGATTACTGGGTTCCTAAGCCAGTTCTTGTGTGCTGGCAATTTTGAGTAATGCCACTTCACTCTAAGACTGTATTGGAAACTAAAGGACTTACGTTACAGTAATTTCCAGATTATTCCACAATTGGGCTTGTTTTCAAACTGAGTTTTACCTGCAGAGTGGCTGGCAGATGCTCTACTAAATACCCTTTGATGAGGTAATGAAATACTAGCCTGATTAAAATGAAGTAGAGCGGGTTTGAGGAGATAAGCAGGGGAGGAAATCAGCATTTTCTCATTTCAGCCTGAAAGGCAATCATGCTATCAAAAATGAAGGCACACTACATAGTCACAGAATGTAGTTGCCCGGTTTGTACTAAAAATACAGTTTGAGTTCTTTTTAAGGTACCAGGAGTGCGGTTTTATTTAGCTCTTTGTCAGCAACTGTAACATTCGAGTCCAAGGACTCTGTACATGTAACTATATGAAACCCACACTGGGAATTCTAGCCTGGGCAGTTGTGGCTCACAATTAGTTGAGTGTTGAAGCATAGAACTGCTTGGTGTTAATACAGGCTCCTGTTCGCCCTTCCCTGCCAGCTCACACAGGCTTAAGATTCAATAGGTTGACATCTTCAAAACAGCATCATTTTGTGCTCCCTTCCAAAATAAAGCCAGTAAATAGAAATACACAGCCATGGATTGAATGTACCGCTTAACTGTATTGGTGTATGTACAAAAGCTCTGGTCTCATGTTTACATGGATCCCTGGCATTCTGCAGTGTGTATATCACCAGGTGGTAAAAGAAAGCCACACCGGGACAGTCGTGCTATTACAGTAGGAAGTGCAGAGCGTACCTTAGGGCCTTGACTCAGATCAGCCACCTGGGGGAAGCAAGCACGCCCTTAGGTGTGAAGGGCTGGTCGTGGCTCTCCGCAGTTCCCAAGGGTGCTAGTCTTTCCCTTGCACATCCTGGTTTAACAGTCTGATTTTTCACAAAGTAAAATGGGCCTTAATATTTGGTCCAAGTTGTTAAAATACAGTTTGGTAATTGGTGGTATGGTCGGTTACTAGACCTGATGATTTTGTCCTTTAAATTTACCAAATGTATCCAGAGATGGACACCAAAGCAAGCCAAGGAATTTTCTTTAACTTCCAGTTGACATTATCTTTGCGCAGTTGAAAGTCAGTTGTCTGTAACCATAAAGCCTGCCCGGCAGCCTAAAGCCACTGAGCCTCTGTTTGCCGTTTCTGGGTCACCATTCTCTTGCAATTTCTGGTTGCACTGTGATAGTATGGTTACCGCTTGGTAATTCAGCATCTAGTGCAATGTGCTGTAGCATTTATAAGATCACATTGCTGAAGGATGATAGGTTTTTAATGACTTCATTAGCCAAACACTGGCTTAGATATGTGGCTAGAGAAGAGGCAACCCTGAGACCTCGAGGCAAAGTGCTATAAATATATCATTTTCTGACCTACTCTGTACCATGGGTATTGATCATCACTACTGTGCCGAGGACAGGTGGGGAGATGCTGGCCATGGTGGCAGGAAGGGATGTTTATTAGTAATGATTGGTAGACGTGGAAAAACTATTGTGGGTATATTCCAGTTTTGTGCTCTAAGGAAGGATACGATAATTTAAAGCCATTTTGTAAACTCTAAGTACTGGGTGGGAAATGTGTGGGTTTATATTTATGAGGTAGAAGTATAGTTCAAAGACAATGGCTGAGTTCTCTTCCCTCTGAGTTACATGTCACAGTTACATAGTATATAGATTCAGACAGAGTTGACAAATGTGGACCAAGTACTTCCTTCTTTTTAGTTTTATTTTTTTTGTTTTTTCAAGACAGGGTTTCTCTGTGTAGCTTTGGAGCCTGTCCTGGATCTCGCTCTGTACACCAGGCTGGCCTCTAACTCAGAGAGATCTGCCTGGCTCAGCCTCCCAAGTGCTGGGATTAAAGGCATGCGCCACCACTGCCCAACCCAAGTACTTCCTTCTTATAGATGAAGCTATTGGAACTCTGGTTGAAGAAGTATTTGTTTTATACATGCTCTGATTATTTCTTTGATTTTTCTGTTTTTAACTCACTGTATCTGTCACCCCAATCTACTCCTGTGGTTTACTTTGCTGCCTTCATTTCTTTTAGGGAAAAAGTTACCACTTAATCCCACACTGGTTTAAAAGCAAATGTTTATGCCCTCGGAACTGCTCCTTAAAATGTGGTCTGGTTAATTTGTAGTTCCACTAGAAAGATATTCGAAGCTCAGTGTGTGGTGATGCGCATTCACAGAAACCCTGCCTTGCATGCCTTGTTCTTCAGTCTGGCTGTTTGCTGTGGTACTGCAGTGGGTAGGAGAATTTGGGTTTCTGTTGAGTTCCTTTGATCACGCTCATCTTCAAGTGTCTTATGCTAGATTCCTGCTTCTTCCCTTAAAATCGGTCAAAAGTGAAACACCGAACTGGGAGGTGAGGGTTCAGTGCGTGAAAAGGAGGTCTGTTCACACCGAGGGCCCTCGGGGCACAGTGTTCAAGATGGGGAGGAAAGACTGGTGGCTCCCGACATCCTTTTAATACCTCAGGGTTTGCATCCCTGGCGATCAACTAAGGTCATTTCCGTAGCGTTTCTGAGACTAGGCACTCTCACACCAGCGGTTCCCCTTATGGTGGCAGAGACCTACTTTCCTCCTCTGACGAAAATGGGTGTCTCTGGAATTTTGGCTTATGTGCACTTTTGAGCATCGCAAACCAGATGTGAAGGGCTGAGAAGACATTTTTCTCCATATAGGCGATGGAATCCAGTTGGCCAGGTATGAGAGATACTCAAGATTACAGTGGATCTATAAATTACGTGCTTGTCTCAAGTGTTGGGTGTGTTTGAATGGGCTTTGTTCTGAGTATTGATCCCTTGCCAACTGTCTTTCCTCCTTGCTAACTGTAGTCATTCAAGCCAAACATGGCCCTTTATGCAGTTTGAGCACGATGTGGTGTGTCAAGTATAGTTCTATTGAAGAACAGATATTTACTCAAGCTCTTGAATTATAAATCGATGGGAAGGGGCTTCTCTGTGATCCTGTCTGGCATTTTCTCTGGTTATATATTGATTTTCTATGCCCCTGTTCGAATGCAGTCATTTGGATTTCCATCTGTTTTTTTAAAATCAGTTGGTCAGTTAATCAATCAATCTATCAGCCAGTCAATCAATAACAACCAGTGTGCATGGCCTTATGCTGAGCACATTACAAATATGAGCTTGTTATTTTCTATACATGAACCTTAGGAGGCAGGTACTGGCCATTGCCCCTAGTTTATGGATGATGACTCTGATGGGTGTTCTCTGTTAGGTTAACTTAAAGGTGCACAAAAATCTACCAGATTTTGAGCTTTATGTTAAGCAATGTACCAAGCTTTAATTTCTATTCAGCAATATATATACTAAGTGTAGAAATAGCAGCAGTAATTATTATGCTTGGACATTTTTTGTTATTTTTTTCCCATCTCTTTCATAAGGAGAAACAAAACCTGAAGTCACAGAATAAGATACATTTCTTTATTGTATATCATGACATGTGCCAGCATCATTTTCTTTTGGGAGATGATGGAATTGAGTCAGGGTCTCACTCTATAGCCCAAGCTGGCCTGGAGCTAAATATGCAGTCCAGTGTGAACTAGAACAAGTGGCCAGGCTGGACTGCCTCAGCCTCCTGAGTGTTGTGATTATAGGTGTGAGCTAACACGTTCTTATAGTCCATGATTCAAAATTTATTTTGTTTGTTTTTTTCTTTTTTTGAGCAAGGTCTCTATGATGTAGCCCTGGCTGTCCTGGAACTGACTATGTAGACCAAGTTGACTTCAAACTCACAGAGATCTGCCTGCCTCTGCCTTCAAGTGCTAGGATTGAAGGCATGCACCATCATACTTAGCTAGTTTTGTTTGGTTTTGAAACAAGGTCTCTATAGCCTAGGCCTGGCTAGTCACAAGCTCACCATGAAGTCTAAGTTGACCTCAAACTAATGTTTCTCCTGCCTTGGCCTCTTAATGCTGGGATTTCAGGCATGTGCCACCAGGCTTGGCTCTATTAGTATTCTCTTCATAGAGTCTAGAACACACTAATTAGTTCAAAGTGGAACTTCTGAAGGGGTTTGATGTTTTATTTATTATGTGAATTCGTATGCTACAAGAAAATGGATTTCTCCTGGTGTTGGCGTTGCTGGATTCTTGTAAATATGTCACAGAAATGTCTGTCATTCTCACTGTCTCATGAGGGGCCTTAATCCGGATTGCCTGTTCTTTCCTGGGCTATCTCTGATGTGTCCTAAGGACTGTGTAGTGTATCTTTTCATTCTCTTTCTTTTGACAGAATGCTCTGACTGCCCACCTCCTTTAAGAATGTTACAGGTTGTGTTTTAAAAAAAAGGTCATGCCAGGCATGGTGATGTACACCTTTAATACCAGCACTTGGGAGACAGAGGCAGATGGATCTCTGTGAGTTTGAAGCCAGCCTGGTTTACAAATTGAGTTCCAGGACAGCCAGGGCTACACAGAGAAACCTGTTGTGGAATGTTACTTTAACTATGTAAAGATGTGTTACATTTATTTATGCTACATTTGTTTAATTATGTAAAGATGCGTTGCTTTGTCTGCCTAAGACACCTCATTGGTTTAATAAAAAACTGAACAGCCAATAGCTAGGCAGTAGAGGGATAGGAAGGGCTGGCAGACAGAGAGAATAAGTAGGAGGAGGAATCTAGGCTTGGGAGAGGAAAGAAGGAGAGAAAGAGGGAAAAAGTGAGAGAGATACCTGGGGCCGGCCGGCCAGCCAGGCAGCCGCCAGCCAGCCAGACATAGAGTAGGACATACAGAATGAAAAAAGATAAAAAGCCCTGAGGCAAAACATAGATGAAGGGAAACGGGTTATAAGCATAAGCAAGAAATGAGCATAAGGTAAGGCTGAACATTCATAACTAGTAATAAGTCTCCATGTCATGATTTGGGAGCTGGTTGGTGGCACAAAAGAAAGCGTGATACAGAAACTCTCTCTTGAGCCCCCTCCCCAAAGTACACTGTCAACAGACCTGGGCTTTATTTATTTCCAGGACCAAGTATGGCAGGCAGAAGTCTGCTGTTCTTAATTAGATACTTCAACGACTTTCATGTCATGTAGAACTATGATGTTTGGATCTAGTTTCAAAGTCAGTATGCTTTTAAGCCTTGAAAGATCTGGCTCAGGTTCCTTATAGTATTATTTCAGTTTTCTGAAGTTTGAAAAGTGTTATGAGGGCATGATAATATTTGACATTTTAGTTATTTGAATTATATCATTAGAAATCTAATATTACAATTCCATTTTCAACTTATGTGGGTTCTGAGGCCAATGTCTTACAAGTTTGTATGTTAAAGAAAGAAAACATTAGCTAGCTTAGTTTTATGACATCAGTTATGATTAAACCTTTGATTATTCTAGTCAAAGCGAACAGAAGATGGATCTTCCACAATTTACGCTTGTCTTTTGAATGTTCTTCATGTTTTATCCACTGCCTCCCATCTGCTCCCTGATCCCATAACACATGTTCTCTTGTTCTCAATAGAAGAATGATTAAGAGTTCTAAATTCAGGGGCCTGTTTTCTTTAAGCTGTATGAAAAGTGGGATTAAACATGAGACAGGTATCTATGAAAGCAGCAATTATCCACAGTTTTGTAAATTCTTTTAATAGTAAATACTACCTTAGCTTTTATTTAGTGAGCACTTACTTGGTTTGAGGAACCCTACTAAGGGTACTATATAAGCTCTCTCTCCTGGTCTCCACAGTAACCTTGTCTTCTTAACTATAAACTGCCCACAGTTTACCCAGCAGTACATGGAGTTGGTAAATGGAAAAACATGATGTGTGTGGCTAACTCTCTATCTGAAGCTAACTATGATGGCTCTGCTAATTATCAGCAGCCCAAGAATGCCTTCCTGCTCTAGGGAGGGTGCAATGAAGTTATGCATGCTCTAGAAAGATCTGGTGCTTAGGGCTGCCTAGTGGGTAGATTGCCAATGGCAGGCACGCTCACCTTGGATTAGGCAGTCTTCAGGAGGTAGGCAAGGGAAGGGTTTCACTGTTGAGTTGGCTACGGATGACAGGCGGGGTTTGGGAACAGAAGGAAGGGGAGGACTTATGTTTTTAGAATTAAAGGCAGAATTAAGTAGACTCAAAATCCCCTGTTTGTTTTATTTTACACTGGGTCCTAGATTGGAAATTAATTTGGAAAGGGCTATATAGAATAGCACAGGATGAGAAAGAAAGAAAGAAAGAAAGAAAGAAAGGATGGAAGGAAGGAAGGAAGAAAGAAAGAAAAAGAGAGAGAGAGAGAGAGAAAGAAAGAAAGAAAGAAAGAAAGAAAGAAAGAAAGAAAGAAAGAAAGAAAGAAAGAAAGAAAGAAAGAAAGAAAGGAGAAAACAGGCTAGAGAGATGGTTCAGTGGCTGAGCGCACTGGCTGTTCTTGCAGAGGACTGGGGTTTGGTAGAGGACTGGGGTTTGGTTTCCAGCGTCCACATGGTGGCTCATGACTGTAACTCTAGTTCCAGGGGATCTGATGTCCTCTTCTGACTTCCACAAGAACCGGCATGCATGTGACACACAGACACACATGCAGGCAAAGCATAAAATTAAACAAGTGAATCCTAAAAGTTATAAAAAGAAAATAAATGAGAATCACTCCATGACTGTTGGGTATTCCAGGCTGGGTCTTCTGAAGGATGCTTAGAGCATTGTGCTCAGTGCTGCACTGAGGGAGCTCCTTGTTTTAGGATGTTGAAGATCAAGGTTGAAGTTAGATGTCTTAAAAACAATTTCTGTCTGGGTCATTCCAAGTACACAATGGAATTTTCCTGGAATTCCTCATGGAAACTTTATAACTATGGAGAAAAAGAAGAATGAGAAACTTGGGTACACTGCCTATTAAAACTCTTTTTTTTTTTTCTCAAGAGCAATTGGAGAAGATGACTTGGATTTGAACCCTGGCTTTGCCATCTTTGTGGCTTCATGACCTTCATGTGTTGACCTTCCTATTGTAGTGGCCCAAATGTTCCCTTCCTCCCTACGACTGACTTCTTATGTTGACATCATGACTCCTGAGGTGATGATAGCATTGAAGGGTGACGCCTTCATGAAGGGATTAGCATAAATCTCATGAATGGATTTGGTTCCCAGAGAGGATCTAATGGGAAGGTAACATGTATGAACCAGCAAGAGGGTTCTCACCAGATATTCTAATTCCAATGCCATGGTCCTGCGCTTCCAACTTCCAGGACTGTGACAAGAAAATTCCTCTTGCATATATATATATATATATATATATATATATATATATGCAGTTTTATGGAAATTTGTTATAGCAATCTGAATGTACTCAATTAACTAACTTGCAAATTTGCGAGACCACTACCATGTGATATTTAGTTGTAAGGTTTAACTGAATTCATATTTGGAAAGTACCAATTATCATTTATTAAAGGTGAGTTTTATGTACAGAAAGGAAACTTACTACGTGCCCCACCACAGGTCAACAATAGAAGCCGTTTTCTTTAGGACTGTAAGGTCAGCTTATGTATCTTATTTTGCTTATATTTCTGGTAAATGTAAACAAATCAGATTCAATTTCTTTGACTTCTCTTTGATTCAAATTGAACATACTGAATTCTTCAAATTATCAGCTTCATTTCCAACCTTAATTATTTCACATATATGTAAATTTAGTATACTTAAATTTTTATTTTAAGAAATCAGATAATTGTTGGGCAAATTTCTGACTTTAGTAAGTAAAGTCTTCCCAAAGACTAGCTCAAGTTTCTTTGAATATTCTATCACTTACAAAATTAATATTGTCTAGACTTAATCAAATACTCTTAAGCATTTCAATCCAAATAAGTCGAATGTCTAAAATCTATCACACATTTATAATTAGAATCACAAGATTAAGCTGTCAGTTTGTCAGATATTTTTAAACATCAAAAATATGACAATCACTCATAGGCTGTACTAAAAGTATTAATAGAAATCTTTTCTTTCTTAAATAAAATATTTATTTATTTTTATTTCATATGTATGAGTGTTTTGCCTGCATGTATGTCTGTGCACCACATGTATGGCTGGTGTCTGACTGTGTCAGAAGAAAAATTGGATATCCTGGAACTTAAGTTATAGATGGTTGTGAGCTGCTGTATGGGTACTGGGAATTGAACTCAGGTACTCTGCAAGAACAACAAGTACTCTTGACCACTGAGCCATCTCTCCTGCCCTGGGACCTGTTTCCTTCAGTGTCTGTCTAATTCTAAACTCTCTTTAGATCGTAAAGCTGCTTGCTCACTTAGAAGACAGTGAATAGAAGGTGCCATTCCGGGTGAGCTTTACTTACCAAACCACTCCATGCTGAAGCTGCTGGGTGACCTCTCTCCCCTAAAATCTACCCACTCATGGATCACAGATTCAAAGGTCGGATGTTGCTCCTGGATTGCATCCATCCTGGATAATTCTCTCTGTGGCATTGATGGATGGCCTGTCTTATAGTCACCATAGCAACAGGTAACTGAAAGCCATTCTTCTAGGTCATATTGATTTTTTTAAATACTTAGAACAGCACTGTCCAATATGTAATTTCAAGTTTCAGATAGCCATATTTTAAAAAGTAATTTTCATAATAGATTTTAAAGCCAGTGTACCCAAAGATTCATCATAATTTCAACATGTAGTCAATATAAAAGTGATTAATGAGATAATGAATGCTGTTCTTTTTTCAGTTTTAAAATCTGGTACGTACTTTACATTTCTAGAACATCTGGATTTATATTTCAGGAGTTAAAATTAAATGTACTCCTCCTCAAACAATAAAGTTATATTTGTAGAGCAGACACTTTATGCGTCTCCAGTCCCTAAATGCAAATTGACTGGAATAGAGTAAAACAAAAATTTTGGTTCCTTAATTGTACATACCACCTGCCAGGAGCTCAGTCGCCCAGTTTGCGTCAGCCATGTTGAGTGATGTAGCTCTAGATGTGTTCACATTCAGTCCTCACAATTCTCCCCCCGCTCCAGGATACGGCACCGCTATTTCAGACATCTTTCACTCAGTGAGTCTGCACTTCTCTAGTTAAGAGTTCCATAGTAGTTTTCATGACATTTGGTCAGCTGCATGGGTGTTTTAAAGTCATCTCGTCAGATCCAAATATTCCATGCTTTTCTCATTTTCCAAAGAGATCTCTCCAGTCTTTTTGGCTTGTTTCTAACAGCTGTCAGTTCCAGAAGAGGTACAGTACAGTAAGCTTACATTGTCTCTTTCTCATCATATGCAGCTTGGTGGAAGTGTGAAGGACTAAATACAGTCTCTGTGTGAGGTCAAATACAGTGGGCCATCCTGCCCCATTTTCCCAGTCTGCTCATAGCTAACTGTCCTAGATAAACATCTTGTGTCTTCTGTTATTCTCCTTTTCCCTGGGTCACCTCTGCCTGCCTCATCCTCTGTACATGGTCTTACCCATAGACCACTTCGCGGCCTCTGGTCAGCGCATCTGGCACCCCACCTGTCCATACCAATCGCTATATCTCTGACTCTGATTTATGGTAGAAGGTTACTGAGCTTATCCTCAGTGAGCACAAACGAAAGGAGCCTGGTTTGCTGACTTTGCCATCAAGTGTGATCGATTTCATCTCACCCACCACTACCACTCTGCTACCATCTACTGCTGTCTCCTTTTTATTTTATTTCAGGGATCTTCTAACTGCTCCCCCAGGTCTACCTGTGACCCCTACAGTCTGTTTTTCAGTACAATGTCTTTGAATTTGAAATTTGGTACTATCACTTCCTTGCTCAAAAGACTTTGAGGCCAAAAGAAAGCACAGATGGAGAGGGGGCCGGAAATTTTCCATGTCGTGAATGGGTAGTGAAAGGGCTGGAGTGTACCGGGGAGACTTGTTCGGCCAATTGCAGCGGTCCAAGTGAGAGGTGCTGCATTTGTTACCATTTGTTTGTATTGAGGTGATTTTAAAAAGTTGATAATATCTTCACTGACTATGGGCTCCAAGAAGGCAGAGACAATGTCTGTTTTTGCCTGTGCTTCTTGGGATGTAACACAGCCTGGCACCAGAAGGTACTTGGTTGCCTGGCGCTTGGATGACCCACTCAGTGTCATGAGAAACCATAGTGAAGGAGATGCAGTCCGTGGCAGTGCCCTTCACTGCCGATTCAGAGCTGGCCTCATGTCACAAAAGGAAGCCAGATGTAGGTAGCATGGCCGAGGAAATGATTATGACTTAGAGGAAGCACTTGCTTGTCTTCGTGGTACTGGGGATTGAATGGGGGGCCTTACACACAGGAGGTGAGCATTTTACTTCTGAGCTTTGTGGTACTGGGGATAGAATGGGGGGCCTTATACACAGGAGGTGAGCATTTTACTTCTGAGCTTTGTGGTACTGGGGATTGAATGGGGGGCCTTACACACAGGAGGTGAGCATTTTACTTCTGAGCTACGTCCCAGCCAGGAGACATTTCTCTTTATTTTAGTTAACTATTTTTGTCTGTGGTATATGTGTGTTTACAGGTGTACACATGTGCACACTTGTGGTTACCAGTGACCGACACCATGTGTCTTCCTCAATCCCTTTCCACTATATTTTTCGAGACAGGATTTCTGTTGAACCTGGGGCACACGAGTTTGGAAAAGCTGGCTTGCTCGAGAGCTCCAGACTCTTCTGTACTTCCCAGCACTGGGATCACAAACACATACCCATGGGGCCTGGCTTGTTCCATGGGTGCGAGGGATCCAAACTCAGGTCCACACGCTTGTGTGGCAAACTCTTCCCTGGCGGAGCCATCTCTCAGTCTGGCAAAGCATTTCTCGGAGTCAAATAGCCAAGGCCTTTATTCAGATTTTCAGATGAATATTTCCCACTCTCTGTGATTCTGACAGCAGAGCCAGTGCAAGGCACCCATTAGTGGGAGGAAGACACTTTCAGGGGAATCTACCAGAGCCTCAGATCATCAGGAAGGCTAACACATCAATTAGAGCTTCGTGAAGTCACTGAAGCTTGACATTGTTATGATCTCTCACTCATGATAATGCATGGGTGGGGAAGTTACTCAGCATAACCTATGAATACAAATAAAAGATGATTTAATGTGTTTAATTAAAAAAAGAGGATATGTTTCTTTGAATCCTTTGAGACAAACCTTGCTTATTATAATGGGAGATTAGAAATAGACCACACTATCAATGGACACCATTTGGGTAAGGAACTGGGAACATGACAAATTCAATATTTTCTTTGTCTTTATAGGGTGATGATGGAAGAACATGAAACCTTCAACTACTTAAAAAAAATTTCCACAGTGGGCCATAATTAGAAGATGCTTGAAACGTTTTAGAGCTCAAAATTGGACTGAGATTCCATTATTCTTTGGTCTGCAGTAAATTTCACTGGTTTGATTATTAACTCTGGGTTATGGCCAATTTCTCTGCCAGATAAAGTGACTTCAGAAAAGAGAAAATGTACTGGGCTCATGTGAAAATCTCACACTGTAGACTGAGGAGAACTCTTAAATAGGCATGGTTAGGGATTCTTCTAACTTTATTTACTCAGTTTACCCACGTGTGCAGTTGTGACAGGGACTGATGACCCACACGTGAACAAACAGATACAGCCCCACCATCCTGAGCTAAGGGGTAATAGAAGTCATGGCCAAGTGTCTCCACATTGCACTGGGGTGTATGATGGTTGTGGGAGTCAGGAGGAGAGGCATTTTAGAGTTGAGAATGATGGGTATCCATGCCGAGTGAAGGCTAGCCCAGGGAAGAGGAGGTGTGGGGTGGTTGGAGTGGGAAAGCAGGGAACTGTCTTGAGTTAGTCCAGAGACTGTGGCTAGAGGGGTAGAGTGAGGGGGTGGGCAAGGCTGTGATAACTGCTGCAGCTGGTGAGAGCCAAAGGCCTGGCTGGGAAGATCTTAAGATACTTGAAATGGGAAATAAAAGCTCAGAGTTGAGTTTTAGAAAAATCTCTTCAAAGTCATGACATTTTTAGCCTTTTGGGTGTCACATCTGTTGTCCTGAGACATAGGGAGCAAGGCTTTTGTTTTTAAGCTAAATTTCATTATTAAAGATCAATGTACATGCAGAGAAGTGTATTTCCACACAATGCACTCCTATGTTACCATTCTCCACACCCAAAATACCGAAATACCTATAACCCTATACTTCCTTTGCCTTTTCCAATAATTATCTGCTCCTGAAACCTTGCCAATAGCCAGGGCTGGAGAGATGGCTCATCAGTTTAGAGCATTTGCTACTTTTGTGGAGGATCTGAGTTTGGTTCCCTGCACCCACAGGGTGACTCACAACCATCTGTAACTCCAATTCCAGAGCATTGGCTATTCTCTTCTGCCCTTCTTGGACATTGGGCACACATGTGGTGCATATATGTATGTGCAGACAAAAAGCTCATACACATAAAATGAAAATAAAAATCTTAAAAAGATTGCCAATAGCACTAATCCCAGAACTATAGAATAGTTACTCATTTTAGAGCTTCATACAAATAGAATCATCTCTATATAGAGTTTCATATTTGCATATCACCATTTTCAGAATCTATGATACACATTTGGTAGTTATAGTTTTTCATCATAAATAGTGCTATTATGAATATATATCTCATACACACACACACACACACACACACACACACACACACACACACACACACATGAACACACAAGACAGGGTCCCATTTTGGAGCCCAGGATGGCCTTGAACTCATGATCCTTTTGTCTCAGCATATGAAGTTCTGGGATTAAAGGTGTGCAGCACCACATGTGGCCTGTGAACATTCCCATACTTAGATAAGAATGTTATAGGATGAGCAACTGCTAGTAGTGGAAGGGCCATAGGTTACAGGGAGGATTTAGCTTTGATGCTGAACTGTTGACCAAAGGGTTGAGCCGCCTGCAGGCCCAGCATTGTGCATGGAAACTCTTCTCATCCATGTTTTGGATTGCAGTTCACAGTGGAGACTGAAAAGAGGGTAGGCATCTCATTGAGGTTTCCCAATAGGTGATGTTGAATACTTTTTCATGTATTTGATTGGTCATTTGGATAACCTCTTCTATGGAATGCTAGTTAAGGTTTGGTTGTTTATGAAAAAACTTTTTTTCCCCTTAACAGCTTTTGTTTTGTTTTGAATAAGCTTTATGAAATTCTTCATATTTTCTGGTTGGAAGTCCTTTGGAGATATATGTTACACATGTTTCCTCCTATACACTGGCTTTTTAATTTTATATTTATTTTGATATACTGAAGTATTTAATTTCATGAGTTCCAATGAAGGCCAGTGTTTCCTGTATGTTGAGAACTTTTTTACTGTCTCAAGGTTTCAAGGATACTCTCCAGGGTTATCAAGACATTTTGTGATTCGACTTTTTCACACATCTATCACCACTTAGAATTGATTTGTGTGTGTGTGTGTATAGTATAAAGTTACAAGCTAGGGGGATGGTAGTATTTACATATATAAATATCTGTTGATTTAGCATCACT